GGGTTTCACGACTGTGGATTGGTTTGCAGCCTTGTTGATGTTGTCTCAGGCCCTAGCCAGCCCAAGTAGGTCAGGAAACTGCGCCTTGCAGCTCAATTAAACATAGACCACCCCCCCTCAAGAGAACACTTTTTTTTCAAAGGCTTTGGAGCCACCCACCCGCTCACTCGTGCCAGCCAAGCACAAGCAAACCCCGATCAGCCACGTCCCTCCCAAGGGGTGCGTGTGCTGGTTGGGGGTCAAGAAGACAGATAGACAGACAGAGAGACAGAGAGACAGCCCACCCAGCCAGCCTGCCAGGAGCCAGGCAGGCAGGCAGGCAGACGAGGTGACTGAAATTATTCAAATTAAACGAGGCGAGGTGAATAATTTCAAAACATTGAATTAAGACGAGGTACGAGGTGAACGAAATTAATGAAATTAGTTTAATTCACCCAGATGAGATCGTCGAACTAGGCTTCTTCAACCCACCTCTGCTGGTGAAGAACCTAGGCCTTGGGTGATTTATGGTTCTACCGCGCCACACGGAGCGATAGCTCAAGCTCTCGCGGATGGCAGCTGCTGGAGCCCAGTGGGCCTCGAAGGTATCAGCACGTGGCGCTCTTCGATGTGGCCAACCGGTGCCGGCGGCAGAAAACAAGGTGAAGATGTGGTGGGGGGTTCCAATAGAGGGCCCTTTTTGGGAAGATCCATTCGGAGGGAAATGAGGATCATTGGAGTGAAAATGTGCAAACCAGACTTGAGTGCTTCAAAAAGGAGGCGCCTCGGCCAGGCGACCCTGGATGCTAAGGCAGCTGGTATCGTGCTAAAGCTGCTAAAGAGTGACAAACTCATACAAGGGGAGCGATTAGATGCGGATGTGAGGGCACAAAACAAATCAAACAAATGGACCAGATTGATCCAAATTGGACAAAAACCGCTGGGAAGCCGTGGTGGTGCATGTCAAGTCAAGAGCAACCCCAAAGCTTTCATCATACTCCATTGGATCGGATTGCGGCAAGTGCTTGAACTATAAAGCACACGGGGGAATCTCAACGACGGTGGCTTGGCCTGCTACAATTCTTTTTATAGGCGGACTTCTTCATGCTGGCAGTCTCTCATGGTCTTGCGGCGGGATTTGGTCGTTGGTGGATGTGTTTTGTGGTGCAAGAATCATTGAGAGCCAAGATCTGGTGTTGGTTCCCAAGTTCCAAGCAATCATCCAGCCTCTCAGTTGGGGCCGTCCGACGCCTCTCAGAAACCGATTCCTTCAGATCTCCAGAGTCTCCAGGCCGGTTTCTCGCCCGCCCGCCATGGCGCCTCTCAGAACAGTCTCGGTTCGATCCCTGGTCTTCCGGATCGCCTTCTCCGTGGTCTACCACGGGTCGCGCCGGCTCCATCCCATGCCGGTTCGATGGTCCTTCAAAGTGACCTTTTGATATCCGTGTTTGAGGTCACTTGGGCCTGTGACAGGTCACTTAGGCACTCCAAAAAGGTCACTTTGAAGAAGCTGGTGGATGGTCGCCTTTCTTTTGGGTTGGCCGTGGTTGATCCTGCCGAGGTCTTTCTGGGTCCATGGCGGACGCCTGGAGATGCAGGACCAGGGAGACACCTGGAGATTCGATCTGGGCGATGGAGATTCGATAGGCGGGAGATGGCCTGGAGGTAGACGTGAGAAGAGAAATCTCTTTTGATTATAGGATTATGTTGACTTATGAAGAGGGCATCCACGGCACAAATTGATTCAATGGTGTGATTTGTGCCCTAGCACCTGTGGGAAAATCCGCCGTCGACCCGCCGCTTGGACGAGAACGGCCGCTTAGACGAGTCTCAGATCCGGTTCACCCGACCAGGTGGAAACGGCCACGCGACCGACCAGCCAACAAGTCGCACGTCGACCACAACGCGCGTGTTCACCACGAGGATGGGACCGTGGGGAGGTCTTGGGAGGTCTTGGGGGGTGGACACCAGGTGATCTTGGAGAAAGTTGGCAAAAACGGAAGGACTTTCTCCAAGCAGCCTCTAGACTCTAGCAGCTTCTCTTCAACTTGAAAAGCAGTGGTCTTTGGGGGTTGTCAACTCTGGATCAAGCAGCTTCTAGATTCTAGCAGAGGACTTCAACATCAATCTCTTGCCCACCTGGACATCGGACGTCAGCTTCCCAGCACCCTGGATGGGATGGCCTGGAATAGGCAATTAAATGCAATTAATTAATGCATGCCATGTATCGTATCAAACTGAGTTTCCCCTAACGCGGCCAAATGAAGGGCTCTCATGGTTCTCTCGTATCACAGCATCGCTGTGATGATGCAGTTCTTTTTCAGAGATCTCCATTCCCCTACACTCCATTTATGGAATATATGCCGCCCCTTTGACCCCCCTGGCACCACCCCAACTGATCGGCATATATGGCAGTCCCAGACAGGTCGCGTTTGGGTTTGACAGGACTTCGACGACCTCGACCACTTCGACCTCAAGCAGCTCGGTCACGGGCACACGCACGTCCACGAGTTCTTCGAGCAACTCCTGGGGTGCTTGGAGTGGAACTGGTGATATGACAGTGGTGTGGATGGTGGCCTCCGGTGCCGCTGGGCTTCTGGTCCTGATCCTTGGCCGTTAAAAATGGGCTGGAGGAGGTGGGAAGGTGGAGGGTGGAGGCGCCAAACGTTGGAGGGTTGGAGGTCTTCTGTGCATGGGTGGTTTATGCTACAGTGGATCCACTATTTCTGGGGGGACAAGCATGCAGGACACTAGCATATAAACATTACTACAAGACAATCTTTATGAGACCCCAAGTCTTTAGTCCAAACGAAGATCACGTTTCCCCTTTGTCTTCGCTTCAGATGTTCCTTCATTCAGATCTCACAGCCTATCTCAACAACCTCTGGAGACCAGGTTTTGACTCACCCTGCTCAAGCTTGCTAGCGCAAAGGTTTATTTTTCCCACCTGCACGTGATTACTGCAGTTCTGAACGTGCTTCGTCTTGCTTCAGTGAAGAAAACAAACTTGGGAATCACATTGTTCTGTGGTTCCTTCAACCCCGCATCCACCGTATAGTCAAGGTATACTCTTCCCAGACGCACCATGTATGCCATATATGCCGATCAGTTGGGGTGGTGCCAGGGGGCCAATGAGGCGGCATATATTCCAGTCCCATGTGAGTGTATATGCATGTATACTGTATACTCTTCGGCCGATGTTCTATACTTCGGCCGAATTGGAAGTTCGGCAGCTGAAGTGACGTACTGAGTTCATCCATCTTCATCCCTCGGACAGCTTGCGCTTTGCTGCCGTTGTTTGCTGTAGCCGTAGCCGTAGCTGATCGGGTCATACGGGGACGCTCACCCCAAATGGATTCCCAATTGGTTTACACAGTCGGATCGACAAGTCGAGGCGGACCATGGATGGGATTCCAACAGATGACCTGTTCCCCGCCGCAGAGTTCGCATTGCTATATAACATTGTGTACACTATGACTCACTAACATGGAAGTGGAAAACCCCCTCCTGTTTGTAAAGGTAGTCTTCCAAGGGACCATTTTCCACTTCCATGTTAGTGAGTCATTGTGTGCCTTTTTTGCGTGGCAAAGCAGGTGTTTTGTGCATGTGTGGGGCAGTCTTGAGGAGCTTGTCCTTCTACCTCTTTGGGTGTGGCTGCTGCCGCGCCCCGACTGCAAGTGGCACAAGCGGCTTCGGGTTGTCCCCATCTGTACTGAACTGCTGAAGTGGAAAATGGAAGAATATACTCCAAGTTGACTTCAATAATGCATCAACTCAGTCAACTAGTTTCCCCCCTCCTCGTTCAGAATGCCCTTGTGGGCCAACCATGCTTGGCAGCCCAAAGTTGTTTCTCAGGTTGCATTTCTTCCCAAGCTGGACATCCCCCAAACACATAGCGCGTCTGACGCAGACGCTGCGCCTGTGAACGGTGGAAAACGGCCCACCCAGGTATCAATGAAAGCCTCAAACCTCCTGAAACCAAATCGACCCGGCCTCGGAAAGTGTACAACTGAATGACTAGCGTCAAGGACTCACTGGAATAATATGTCATCCCATGTCATCCCCCAAAAAATCCTACTGGTGCTTTTTTGGAGGTAGATTCGGATAGATCACCTCAAAGTCTTGGAAGCAAATTGTGGCCAGAACCGACCATCTTCCCGTCAGGCAGTCAGAAACCGACCATCTTCCCGTTGAATGAGCAGCGACTCTGGGAACCTGCTGGGCCTCTCCTGCTGCCCAAGCGTCCGTTCCTCGCGGAGGTTCGGCGCGGAGCTTCGACACGGCGAGTGACCTGTGATTTGACCAGGTCGTGGGGCGCACTTCTTGGTTTCAATGAATTCTTTAAACTGAACCTGGAGGATAGTAAACATACGGCAGGCTTATATAATACTATATACTACATATTGTTTAATACGATCTATATACTATGTTTATAAGTTCAGCTGAATATTGTGATATCATATGATGCTTCTATGCATGCCCATGCTGTTTCATCCTAGTGTGGTCGACTCCAGGCCGGAGTTGGATTGACGGCAAGATGGGAACCACAGTTGGGAGAAACAGATGTGAAATGCTTCAAAAAGCAGAGGTGAAGTGACCGTTTAGTTTTTACCCGTCACCTGGGGTACTGAACTAGGATAGTCGGAACATTCGGGTTCTTCAACACCACATTGGTCATCCAACTCGCTGAAAGATCCGGCAGTCACGTCGCGGTCGCTGCGTCCCGACTCTTCCCATTTGCAGGACGCCGACCCCGAAGATCCAGCACCGCGGCACGAGCACTCCGTGCGGGTGGCGATCACGCTGGCCGTGAGCGATGGGGACCATGGATGGTGGCCCATTCCACTGCAGCTGCGGAGGAGGAACACACGAAGGCGAAGAGGGAAATTCAGGGGAATACACTCCCGAAAAGTCACATAGACCCTGAGAATGGTCCAGGGTGCATCGAAAACAACTAGAATTGCATCATCTTGAGGGGATATGTAGAAACGGAGATGGGATGGAAGGACTTGGATCGGTTTTGACGTAGGTATGAATCACCAATTTCTTGTGACTTGGATCACAGGGCCTCTAGAATCTTTGGAACCTGGCTTGTTCGCTTTTTTGGGGGGTGCTTGGGGGGGTCGACAGCCATGAAGGTGGTTGCCCAGCCATTCAGACTGCTTAAGAGCTTCAGACAGCCATGTTTTGACGAGCTTGTCATCGAAGTCACCACTCCTCAGGCATTTGATGGACGGCTACTGGCGCAGCTTCGGCCATGGAGGCCTTCCGGCGTTGGTGGCATTGCCCAGGTGTGGGCCGCCCAAGCAGCCACAGGAGCGCAGTGGTGCAAACTCAGTGCTTTCACCAGTAGATAGGAAGAGTCCAAGAAGTGTTCACAGCATGTTGTTCGTACTTTTCAAGATGACCCCTCTAATCACAGAGGTCGCCTCAGAGGTTCAGAGCTTGGCACCAAAGGTTCAGAGGCTCCCCCTCTCCAGGACATGCCGCTCCCGCCCCTCGCCCTGCCTCCCGCGCCGGCTGCGCCCGCGATGCACCGAGCACCGGCGCCCGCGGCGCCGCCCATCCCAGCGCCTCGCGGGGCGTTGCGGCGCCCGGCGCCGCGGCGAGCGGTGGCGGAGGGATCTCCGTCGATCGAAGGGCCCGATTTGAGGAGCGACGGAGCGAGAAGCTTTCAGGTGACGGACTGGATCCAGCATCCAGTGAAGAGTACATCATATTTGTATCTTTTGATGTGGTGCAGGTGCTGCATGAAATAAAGAACGCTTGAGGGGGTTGGTGGTTTACTTTGCCACCACAGTGAGCCCTTGGCTCACTGTGTGGATATGGCATGATCTTTCGAGCTAGATTTTGCGTCCAGGACTTTTGGGCTGAGGACTGTGGAGCTCCTACGGTTTCTTCCTGGACCAGTGCCCTGAAGCACTTAGATCACTGCAGATGTCCAAGCGGAATGGAATGAACGATTCAAAGTGTTAGTTAGTGTTCATCAGCACTTTTCAGTTGGAGGAGCAACGCCATAGGTGGATTTGATGCCAGCCGCTACGGAAAAAACCACAGCTGCATCCATGCATGCCTTTCGAACCCCTGAAGCCTTGAGGTGCGCGAGGTCGACACGCCCTTTCGCACCGTTGGACCGCAGCTCCCCGCCCCGCCCTGGCCCGGCTGGCCGGGTCAGCGGCCCGAGCGGACCCGGCGCTGGGCGGAGGAGGACGGGGCGCGGGGCGCGAGGCGGCTGCCGCCCATGCCGCCGACGCCCCGGAGCCAAGGAGAAGCGACCAGGTGAAAAGGTATGCCCGACCGGGCTCCTTCTGAGGAGGTACTTGGAGCCCTATAGGGATGATGTTCATGGAACAGTTGGGATGATGGGCTGGATTGAGGACTGGCTGGACATTTGTAGACATTTGCTAGCACGTGCTAGCACCCTTGATCCACCATGGTTAGTTGATTAATGGATGAGGCTGATACTTACTATATTGGACATCCTCTCTTTGGCACTTCACTTGTGCACTAAGGAGGGCCTGGGTTAGTTGAGTAGTAAACAGGTTCCCCTGCAGTTTAGTGCGAAGGAGTAAGTTTTAATGTTTTTTCCTCAGTTTAAAGCTTAAGCCCCCTACCATAGAGTAGAGGAGTTAAAGAGCCTCCCGGCCCCCTCTTGGTGAGACACCCTCTCCCACCTCTGACTACCTGACCTGCACGCGTGCGGGGAAGGTCAACAGAGGGGGGTGAGGGATACTCAGCCTGAGGGGTAAGACCGCGGAGCTGCAATGGCCTCCCGGTGGCGGAAAACCGGGGCCAGGGCCAGGCCTGAACACTACGAAGGCCTGGCTTCTGGAGTGGTAGTGGAGGCCGTCATGTATGACGACAAGTGCAGGCCCCAAGGACATGCGCTCCTGATCCTAGCTGCGAAGGAGATTGATGAAGCAGAAGAAGAGGGACAAGTGTGGGGGTGCCACTTCCTAAGCATCCAGGACGACTACTACACCTGGTGGCATCAAAATGAACACGGTCCCCTGAAAGAGGGGAGACTGCATCGGATACATCTTTGCGGACGCCCTTGCAAGACTTGCGGGGTCGAGACTCCGTTCCGCCAGGTGACACACATTGATGTGTATCGGATGCTTGAAGGGGATGGCCATGAACGGTTGAGCTGGTTGACACCTGAGGGGAAAGCAACTATGCATGAGATCCTGGAGGGACATAGGCTAAGGAAGGGAGACTCCAAGAAGGATCACAAGAGCGAAGCCCGGCCCTGTGGTTCAGATGGAGTTGGGCTCACCCCTGTACTTCCTGGAGCGGAAGGCCTCACTGGACTTGCAGCGGCGTTGTCGGGAGGAGGAAAGGCGCCTGACGCAGAGTCTCCAGCGTCACCTCGGGAGAGCATTTCCGGGGGGGCAGGGGAGGCAAAGCGTCGGCGTGCCAAGGAGAAAGGAGAAGAGTCGAGTTCGACCTACAGGGAGGAGTTGGACAAACGTGAGGGAGTGAAGAGCCGAGACAGTGCCCTTCGATTGAACAAGAAAAGGAGGAAGAAGAGGGGCAAGAAGGAAGGCAAAGGATCGAAGAGTAGCTCAAGTTCTTCTTCAGGCGAGGAGGTTTTTCGCGTAGCCTCTCTCCCGGAGGGGGTCGACCGTTTACGTCAAATCCATCAGGAGCAGCCAGGCCACCTGGCCAATTTGACATTGTTGAAGTATCAAGAACTTCTGGAGCGGTCGGCCGGGAGAGAGGCGGGAACAAAACATCACGAGATGTTCCCCCCATGTGCGAGGGCTTACCTCCATCAGTGGTTGGTTCCCCGGCGAAGTTCGTCACACTTCGGCATAAGAACTATGAAGGAGATGGAGACCATCATGACAGTCGTGGACCTCTTGGCAAGCAACGACATTCTGCGGGGACTCGACGTCTTGATTCAGCGGCAGAAGGCTATAGAGCTCGCAGCCGATCAGGGCAGCTGGGCACAGGCCCAATACCTCGAACTGACCCACGCGGACGAGGAGCACAGCTATTTCCGCCAAGAGCTAAAAGCTGTGCAGGCCGAGCGGAAAGCAGACCTGAAACTGCAGCAGATGGCCTGGGCCCCTCGGGGTTGGAAAGGAGAATGGAAGGGAGGCAAAGGTCAGCCAAAAGGAGACGGCGGCGGAGACGCAGTGGTGACCGATGGGACAGCCCCCTTGAACGACGTGGGAGATCCCGCAAAAGGGAAAGGCCGCGGGAAGAAAGGCCGGGGGAAATGGAAGAAGTGAAGCAAGATCAGAGGTTGCTTCCAGAGGTGCTCACCCCATTGGTGAACGAGATCATGGAAGGTGCAAGTGCTGACAGAAAGGATGTCAGGTCGCAAAGGGTGAAGGCCATCTTGGAGAGCAACTGCGGCAAAGAGCCGCTGGAGATTGCAAACATCCTGACACGGAAGTACCATGAGCTTTACAGTGAGAGTGCCCCTGATGAGATGGTTTGTGCCCCCGAAGGCTGTAGGAGTGATCACCATGTAGAGGGGCCGGAGGCCGGCCGTCATCACGGGGTGATCATTCGTTGGGTGTCGGGGGAGTGGCTGCAATGGCGCAGTGATGGAGGCATCTATGTGGGCGATGGATCCAAAAGGTTGACCGCAAGCCCGTTGGGGCAGGCAAATCGTGACCGACTGGACACCAGAGTGGCACGACGACTCTTAGAAGGTCGTCCACTCTACATTGATGAGGGTGACAGCTTGGAGATGGCTCAGAGCACGGTGGACTATTTCGGTCTGAGAGGCGGAACAGGGCAAGGACCACGGCATGGAGGGAGAGAATATTATCAGCAGGTTGAGGCGTTCCTGGAGGGAGCTATGACTACTCTTCAACTGGGGATCGTGCTCAAGGAGATGGTGAGAGTGCGACCCTCACTCCTTGGGACAGCAGTGATCCTGATGGAGCTGTGCGCAGTGGGGCCCTTGGGTAGTTCACAGCCCTTCCAGGAAGTGCTGCCATTGCCTTTGCCTGATGACACGGAGGCCGAGATTGAAGTTCGCCGGGTGCTTGAGAAGGTCAGATTGGGACAGCCGGAGGCTGGGAGCAAGGAATCCTTGGACAACTGGGTCCCAGTCGCGGGTGTGGATGCATGGGTTTGGCTCCAAGTAGTGCTGCTCAACTACATGTACATCGGGAAGGACAGGCTGCTGACGCAGACTTTGTTCCACTCCAAAACATTGCTTGAGTGCCAAGTTCCCGTGATGGAGAAGTTGAAGTGGAATGCGAGAACCTTTGGCAACTCAGGGGAATCTGTGAGGATAGGGCCTTGGCATGATGTGAGCGAACAACTTGGGGAGCTCTACACAGGGAAGGAGTGGCGGAAGTGCTACCCGCTGACGCTGAGAGCCATTGAGCCTTCAATCCCCAAAGCTGGGGAGGCTGCTCGTGTCGAGTTGGCGTCAGTGCTCCCGGAGCGCATCCGTGAGTACGCTGTCAACCCGGCGCTGGTGAGGCTGGATGACGATGAGGTGATCAATCCACGATACACTGCACCGGTTCATGTTGAAAGTCCTGCTGAATGGGACAAGATCGTGAAGTCCCTTGTGGTGGCCGGCATGTTTGAGGCAGAAGTCGAGGAGGAGACGGTGCGCCACAAGGGGAAGCCGGTGCTGAATGGAGCCTTTGGTGTCCACAAAGCATGGAAGCAAGAAGCTTCAGGGGAGTGGACAAGGTGCCTGCGATTGATCATAAATCTGATCCCGTCGAATGGTTTGCAAGGAAGATTCCCGGAGCGAGCCTCAACCCAGATGTCCTATGGGCCACTCTTTGGACAGATGATTGTCCAAGAAGGGGAGGTGTCGCTGTTCTTTGCCGAGGACCAGAAGCATTGCTTCCACATTTATCGTCCTGGCTATGCCTGGCGTGGGTACTTCACCTTGAGCCGAAAGGCATCAGCCGAGGCATTTGGGCGATCAGGACCACCGCTGAGACCTCGAGTCTGTTCAGCTCCAATGGGATGGAAGAACATTGTTGACCTGATACAGGTTGTGCATGAGGAGATGGGAGCGGTAGCTGGAGTGCCCCCAAGTCACCTCCTCAGGCTCGGCCATCCGTTACCACATGGAGACCTGCTGACCCCAAGACAGTGGTTCAGCTTCTATGTGGACAACTTTGATCAAGTGATGGTTGTGAACGAGTCGGAGGTGGGCCGATATGAGGGAAAAGCTTCTGAAGTGCAGCTGCAGCTGAGGCAAGTCTATCATGAACACACGGTGGGCCGTGATCCGAAGAAAGCCGCAGAGGGCGTGCGGTCATGGCAGACCTTGGGCGCAGAGATGCTTGAGAACCACGTGGGATCCAACCTTGGGTTCCGGCGTGCCCTGATGGGAGCCACCCTGCATTTGATTCGAACCGAGGGAAGCATGAAGGTGAGCTTGAATGAGTTCATGACAACAGTCTCAAAGCATATGCATTCGTGCCAATACAACCGGACTACTGCTTGCCTGCTTGACCAGGTATACAAGTTCATCCACAATTATGGCAAGGGAGTGATTCCACATCAGGTGATTGATGAACTCTGGCTGCTGACCATGGCGCTCCCGATGCACTGGATGAACACCCAGTGTCAATTGGATGGACGAGTGTGGGCCACAGATGCCTCAGAGGAAGGTGGTGGAGCGTGCCATTCGGTGGGGCTATCCAAAGTGGGGGATGTACGCGCGCATCTTCTCGCACTGGATAGCCACTGCCAGGGCGGAGCTTTAGCAGATGAGATCCTGGTTGTTGAATTGTTCGGAGGGGCCGGAGGGCTCTCGAAGGCTTTGCAATTGCTAGGGGTGGTCCCCATGGGACTCATTTTTGTCGACCTCAACCCGAAGGCCAGAAAACTTCAGAAAGGGCATCACCCACACAGTATGTTCTACAGCGACATCAAAGAGATCACCCGGGAGGATGTACTGAGGTGGAAAAGGACTTTCTGCCGAGCTCGACGGGTCCTAGTCTGCGGGGGGCTGGCCATGCGTTGAGCAAAGCCGCTTGAAGAGCCAGCGCGAAGGTGCAGACAGCGAAATGGGGAGGCTGCTTGATGACATGCTGCAGATTGCGGGATGGCTGAAAGAAGCAGGTGAGCTCCCAAATGAACGGCCATGGAGTGTGATTGAACTATACGAGAACGTTTTCTTTGATGCCGCTGACGCGCGGATTGTCGGAGCGAAGATGCAAATGAGGCCTTTGAAGACGTGGGCGCATGAAGTTGGGTGGACGCGTCGTCCGAGGCAATTCTGGCTAAGAGGCCTGGCACTGATATCAGGGAAAGACCTCACCATAGAAGAAAAGAGCGTTGGTGAGGAGGATGCCCATGCAGAAGTGCACTTTGAAGCATGTTGGCCTGCCCTTTGGAAATTCGTGGAGCCTGCCACCGCACGGCTTTGCGACACCGATGACCCCTTCCCATGTTTCACTCGGCCGATCAAACGGGAGCAGCCTCCACCGTCGCCTGCAGGCCTTGAACAGGCTTCTGAAAAAGCCCTTCGTCGGTGGAAAGGCGATGCGTACCGACTTCCTCCCTATGCGTATGAAGATGCATGCCTTGTAAAGGACAAAGGTGGTCCTCGTCGGCTAAAGGCCATGGAGCAGGCGAGGATGCTGGGATACAACTCAGGGCACTTTCGGAACATGAAGCCAAAGCCCACTGAGGATGAAGTGGGTGGCTTCACAGGAAACAGTTTCCCTGTCATTGTGGTGGGCCGCTTGTTAATGGGATTGATCACACCATCCCCTCCTGACCAGCAGCAAAACTACGTGGAGCTCCTTTGGAAAGCATGGGATGCACACGAGGAGGTGGCACTGCAAAGCCAGAAAGCCACTGGGTGGACCGAACGCTTTGGAGCAACTGCTGGGACCTGGGAAGGGGCCAAAACCGTGCGAGATCTAATTGGGCAAAAGCAGCAACTACCTCGTCAGGAAGACCGCCAAGGGAGCAGGCTGACAAATGAACAGTTTTTGATCCTGCAATACTGCCGGATCATCGATCACAGAGGGTCGGATGTGCGATTCGAAGCTGGCCTCCCATATGCGCCGCATCTTTTTGCGCGCAGGCCCGTTGATCCTTCAGCTTGGATTTGGAAGGTCTTCCTGAGCTATAAGTGGAAGGAAACTGGACACATAAATGCCCTAGAGCTTGCAGCCGTCCTCGACTTGTGCCGAAAGCTGGCCCGAAAGAAGGAGGACCATGACAAGCGGCGGTTGCTGCTAGTGGATAACCAGTCAGTGCTCTCAATCATCGCGCGAGGTCGAACTTCGAGTGCTCGAATGCAGGGACCTTTGACGCGACTCGCCGCCGTGCTGCTTGCCACTGGAATGACCTTGGTGTTGGGCTGGGTCCAATCCGCGCTGAATCCAGCGGATGGCCCAAGCCGGTGGCGCGGCAGAGCTTAGAGACCAATGCCGGACTTGCGACAAAAGGCGTCGCAGGCAGCAAGAAAGGCGAGGAGAGCCAGATTGGGAAAGTTGGCTGAACAGGTGGTTGCCCCAAAGACTTTAGCACGGTACAGGTTGCATGTTTATAAATTCATAGACTTTTTGATCGCGTTGGGTGTGAGTTATCCTTCGGGATTTATTGAATTAGACAACTTGGTATGCAGGTATGTTGAATCATTGTGGGAGTCCGGCGACCCCAAAGGATGGGCCTCAGATTGCCTGTCAGGACTTGGACATTTCATCCCACCTTGTAAACCATGGCTGGTGGGTGCATGGCGTTTGCACGCCGCGTGGGGCCGAGCGGAGCTGCCGTTACGTGCGGCTCCATTCACACCCCTGCTGGTGTACTCCTTGGCTGAACTGGCGCATCGGCGTCATTGGAATGACACTGCTGTGTTGTTGATTGTAGGTTTTTGCATGTTCCCACGGTCTGCTGAGCTCTTCTCCGCTTTGAAAGGTGACTTTGTGTTTGACCATAAAAGATCTGCAGTGTGGAGCCTGCCTTTAACTAAGTCAGGCCAGCGCACGGGCGCGAAAGAGTCCTTGGTCGTTCGTGACCGCTGGGTTGTCTCCCTTTTGCGATCATACCTTGAGCATTTGTCGCCTGGAGATAAGCTCACTAGAGTGTCTGGCCAGACTCAACGGAACCGTTTGAAAGTCCTCACAGAGGATGCCAATCTGGCTGGGAATTTTCAGTGGTACTCTTGCCGAAGGGGCGGGGCCACGCACATGTTTCGGATGACCGGCAACCTGTCGCAAGTGTGCCATGTTGGTCGCTGGAATAGCCCTAAGACGGCCCGCATATACATCTCAGACGCTGTCGCAGCATTGGCTGAGATAGACCTTGAGACCTCGCATAGGCGTAGGCTCACATTGTTGGCGGCTCATGCACGTCCAGACTGGGACACAATCTAAGCGCTGTAAAAGAGGGCTGTCCTGAAACAATTTGTGATCCCCCTCTTCCTTGGGGGGTCCCCCTTGCACGTGCCTCTTTCTCAGGTGGACAACCTCATGGGTTGTAAAAGGGGTACGGTGGATACCGGTATTTGGTTGCATCTGGACCTGTTATTGAACGGGCCAGG